GCTTCTCCCTCAGGCCAGGGAAAACCAAGATCCATTATTCATGGCTCTTACTGCCAGGAATCTAAAGGCAGGTGTGTGCTTGAGCGCGAGTGTGTCTGTCGGTATTTTTTGTCAATTATTCAAAGATTAACCGCCCTTACCTCATCACATTATCTTGCTGATGAAATTGAATATCATTTACATTGTGAAACCGGTAATGAAACCACAACAACGGGCACTGCTCCTTTTCACGCCGCAGTAAATGGAGAGATTCTGGTTGAAATCTGATGCCAAAAACAAGTAAAAGCTGACATTTCAGCTCACTTTCCATCAGATATTAGTGAAAAGGGAGAAAAGAAACAGAAGAGACAACATAGCAAGAAGACAAAAGAAAGCCTTGAAAAACCTCCTATTTAGGGGCTTAAAAAATAAGAAGTTCATATTTTGGTGATAATTTAAGTAAAATAAAATGTATTAGAGTAACTGGATAGAAGCTCTACAGTGTTTTCCAGTCAGGTGCGTTATAATTCTATCAGCATACACAGGTTGGGGGAGGTTTAAAAGGATCTCCAACAGCACTTACTTCACACATGACCACACCACTCTAGCTTCACACTGTAATATATTAAATCCTAAAATAGAAAAGTAGTATCAGGTAAATGATAAGTGGTAGGAACGTTTGTGCCGGGGTTGCTGTTGGCTGGGGGAGGAAAAATAAGGAGGACTCACTGGAGTAATACATGGCCCTCGTGCATCTGTGTGTTATGCCTACAGTTAAATAATATACACCCACATTAGTAGCAGAACAACAAATATTAAAAGCAAGTTAAAGACTTAAAACATTACTTATTTTTGCTTCTTTGACTGTCATGTGTAAACGTGTTGCTAGCAGTTAGCGGACCCAAATTGCAGACCCTGAGACTGATTCAGAACTCACACAGTTTGTGGTGGGGCTCGGGAAACTAAACACAAAACAACTGAAAACACAGTCTAAACTGAAATCTAGAGCTTAATAGTTACGTCAGTCCTGTCAATATTTGAATCGATCCGCTGCTCAAAAGGCACCTGGTGTGGCAGCACAGAGTGGGCTTACGCAAGCTTGGCAAATACCCATGTATTTTCCTTTGCTGCTTCTGTTTGTCTGCACCTCTAATACACCCTGTTATTACAAAATATGTATTTCATTTATTTTAAAGAAAAACTCAAAGATGAAGATCATTCTGAAGTTAAGAAAATCTAAGAAAAGCCACATATGCCCTGTTAATCGACACAAAAAGCCTTACAACATGCTAATCCAAGAGTTTAGAGTTGCTAACTTTTTTATGTTTACTATCTAATTTTTCTGCAATAAAGTGGACAAGCATATTTCCCCATTTACTAAATTCTTCATTTAATCCGCAGTAATGTGATCATTGTAAAGCAATCCCATTTCTCATACTGCGTCCTTTTGTTTAAGGTGGTGTATATAATCAAACTTCATTAACACTAGTCATCATTAGCTACTAAATCATCATCTGGTTATAGTATACATTAGAGAGAATGGATGCTAAAAGTCCTAACCTCTCCTAAGGTAAGTGACTATTTTTCATATTCACTTATAGCTATAAGCATGCAATGATGAGAAAAAGCCTGGGATAAAACTGTCTTGCATAATTTCTATTTAAAACTCTTCCTAAGCATGGTTTGAATAGATAATAATGTATAATGCAATGTAATTTAGTGAATCGACTCCCTGTTCAGTTAGATTTTCTACTACACCAATGTGCTCACCCCAGCGTGCTTAAAATCCATTACAGCTGCAACAAAGTTATGATTTCATTATAATTTCAATTTAAGTTCATGATTTCATTATACTGGAAACTCATTCCCAAAATACTGGTTACCAGCTGCAGCAGTACGGCTGGTATTGTAATAACCTTGTGTATGTTTGTGCATGTGTGTGATCTTTAAATATTTATATGCCTTACTGCAGCCTTTTATCAATGCAATAGTGTTGCAATCATCTACAGTATATTCACCAAACTTTTTAGGTTTTTAGTTTAGTTTATGCTGGATTCACAGATGTTAAAATGCCTGAAGGACTGGAAGTTAGAATTAGCTCATTAGCATTTTTGTACTTTAAAAGAACATTAGCTGATGCAGATGAGCTAGGTAGGTTACCAGTATCCAAAACTGATGATCAAAACAATTTAAAAACCAACAATATGTAGCACTTGGTAAAGTGTAAAGCTAAAATATGTCTAAAACATTGCATAAATCTGTTGATATTTGGGCTATTCAGCCGTATGTTTGGGTTTTTTGGCTGCTACATGTTTCCACCAGTAGAGGGCAGTCACGGCAAAAAGTAAAGAATAATGTTCTGTAAAAAATGAGAAAAGCTTGCTTGGGTTTTGTATGTAAAAGCCACGGTTCTGGAGTACCCAAATAAACTCGGTTTGGTGTTTACACCAAGTTGTCCTGGAGTGGTGTAATAAATACAGATTTTTATAACCTCCATAGCCTTAGCTAAAAAGTTAAACATTGGCTAAAATTTAGCTAAATGCAAATGAATCCCAAGGCTGTTCAATTTTAACGCATATGTTTAGTAATATCTGACTCAAAAAGAGCATTTTTATTTTACTTTTACTAGCTAGTGTAGGTGCTAGACCATCTAGACCAAGGTGAAACACTCATGAATTATTATTGTTAATTAATTAATAATGGAGAAATGTTGGCTCACTCTTCTTAAC